AGGCCGGAAGGAGGGGTACCTGAGACCCCGGAGGACTCCACGGGAGGAGGCTGCGGAGGAGAACTGGAAGCTGAGACCGCCGGAGCAGCCCGGAGACCGTGGGAAGGGTAGGTGGATAAATCACCTTTCCCCTCCCCTGCATTAGGGACTGCTGGTGGGCTTCCCAGTGGGTGGAGAGACCTGTGGACACCAGCCCAGAGACAGCCGCCGCCAGCTAGCGGTGAGCCTGTAGCGAACACGGCACCAGACTCCCAAATCCCTGTGCACCTCGGTGTGCACAGACCCAAGCCGTGCGGCAGGTGCCATATTGCCTCCTTCTCCCTCCGCTGACCCTACCGCGGCTGCCAGAGAGACAATACAGCCCCCAGCCAGAGGCACCTCTAGGGAACGGGACCTTCCCATATGGAACCCTACAGCTGACTAAGGGGAACTCAGACTGTGAGCTTCCTACCCACCAGCCCTCCCAGGTGCTGCTGGCACGGTGTTCCCAGGAGAACAGTGCCGACTCAGAGGCTGAGAGACACAGACACAGCTTGGGCTCCCTGTAGGTGAATTGGGACCGGAACGTCTCTCCCTGGTGGGGATACAGTTTGAACTCTGGGACCCAGAGGTCGGACCTGCAGACCAGATCCTGTGCACCTAGGTCTAGCATTGCCTGGGGCACAGAGGATATGTGAACAGCTGCGGAGGTATGTGTGCCTCCAGGGACATATCAGCATCCTAGAGGGCAACCGTCCACCAAAGGGAGGCCGTGCGCCCAGCCTTATGGTCTGCCCTCGTCTGCTGTATGCTCACTTTCTTGCTTCTTTTTTCTAATTTCTGCTAGAATCTGTCTTTTCTGCAGAGACACCCTTTCTGGCGGTGTTTCTCGTCCGCCATCTTCAGAAGCATCTGCAAATAGTCTTAATTGGGTTCAATGTTAGACAATTTGAGAATTGCATTTGCAATAATTAAGTTGCTTAATACTAAAGGAGCCCTTTAAGATGGGGCGCTTTACAAAGATATGCTTCCTGACGGCCATTCTGTGCTGGACGCGAGCAGCTCTGGCAGCTCACACCGTCAGGGCTGTCCAGTCTCCGCTCCCTCCGCCTGTGCCTGGCATCGCCCGCCACTGAGAACTAAGGCTGTTTCCCTGACCCTAATCTCTTCAGAAATGACAATCTGAGGTTCTCATTTGACTAATTGGAGCTTTGTCTTCACGTTGAGCTTTTCCCACCCAGTGGCTGAAGAACAGATTGCTTCATGTGTCTTGTCATCTCCTCTGCTCCACTCTAAAACATGAATGTGAAATATGGTGATTGTCTATTTATTTCTTATCTTTCGTGACAAAAAATGTTGAATAAGGGTGATGATTTCTCCATTTCTTTAATATGCTTTCCTATTTTTACATATATGAGAATAGGTGGGGTTATTCTTCAGTGTAGGCATATTTTGGAATTATGTTTTGGGCAAATGTTTACCTAGAACCCATTGATTTTGTAAAACAAACAAGCAAATTAAAGAGAGAACTATGGGATTCTCCCAATGGACTTTTTCCTCTATAAGGGGTGTTTTTATTGGGTGACACAGAGTAGGTGTTTAATAAATGTTTATCGAGTGATAAATGATGGGGGGTAGATTTCCTTTTTCTACGCCTAACATATTTATTAGTACTAAACATATTTGTGAACATCTATTTAATATATACCTCCTTAGACATGCTCATTAAATGTTTTTAAAGAGAAAAAATCTTGGCCAGAAAAGCAATTCTGTAAAAATTTCCAACATATGTTTATGTGTTGGTAGCTTTGCATTTATTGCTAAAAATAATCCACAGAAGCACTCCGTTTCTTGCAATTATTGATGTAGTGTAATGTTACACATATGAACCTACTTATGCTTGATGGGTTATCCATTTAATTGATAAATTGCATTTTCCTAGTATATCCAAAATGGTTCAGGTCACTTAAGAGGGCATAATATCCAACAACTGGGTAAGTGGGATGTGCTTTCTTAGTGCTCAGTCATATAATTAAACTTGACTTTGTGCCATCCTGATTTGAATATAAATATTTATTTTACACTTTGAAAAAATATGAGTATACTGAATCATTCTTTGGAGGTGGTGAAAAGATCCCATGTTACCATCTTATGATTCCTTTTTTTAAAAATATAGGAATTCAGAAGTACAAAAATGTGCTGAAGTATCCTTCATATAGGAGAGATTGCTTCTGAGTCTAAATTCATGCAGTCCAGAAATTCAGGGCATTTAAACCTCCTTCCCTTCTATCCTGTGTTGACTCAAAGTCTGTGTTCAGGATATAATCTCAGAAATGGGAAGGGGAGAACAGGATTTAAAGCAAAATTATTTGAATTTATCATGTAACAAAATAAATTTAACAAATTGGTATCCATGAAACATATTTATAAAGTCTAGTCATATATTCTCATTCTTGTTAAGAGTTTTAAATATGAGTGAGGTTAAATAATATATATGCATAACATGTTTTCAGCCATTCATTGGATTTGGAAGATGATGCTCGATTTAGTATGTTTGATGACGGGACACTCATGATCTGAAACAGCAGAGAGTCAGACCAGGGTGTCTATCAGTGTATGGCCAGTGTATGGCCAGAAACTCCACCGGGGAAGCCATGGCACCAAATGCCATGCTCGGATACTCCAGTCTCCCCGGTAAAACTTTTTATTTTCTGGTTAACTTAATGTTGATGCATCAGTTATCTATCAATTCTTTGCACTAGAAAATGACCTTATATTGTTTCTTTAAAGTATGTAATGTTTCAACTTGAAACTATTACCATTGTCTCTTATTTTTTTAATCTTGTTTTAGAGAAACTTGAAGTTTATTTCAATTTCCTGCCTTAGTTCTATTCCTTTCTGGTACCTCACAGATGTGGTTTCTAGACTTTGCTCTTCTGCCTTGGATTCCCCAGGCAGCTTTCCTGCGTCCCGAGGCAGAGTAGGTCAGTGGGGACCTAGATGGGAGTATGGCCCTGCTCAGATTCATCCAATCATTCACGCATCATGAATTCATTTAACAAATGTTTATTGAATGCCCAGTTAGCTAGCTGTTGAGGATTTCATGATTAATAATCATGCTCTTTCAACTTTCCAGGAGCTTTGCTTTGTCATAATTTCAAATGGTTTATATAAACCAGACACAATGACTATGACAAATCTTTATTAGTATTATCTTGAGATGGTGGAAACACATTGTCTCTTACCTTACTGAGCCTACAGTCTATTAGATGATAGCCATAATCCAACAAAATGGTAAGTTTTATGATGTGTGAGGAGAGGGGAAAGAGCGTGAGGACAGTTGTGTGCTAGCAACCATTTAAAACTTGGTCTTGGGAGAAGGAGCCCTGATTTGCAGCATTTGCCAATTTCCGTAGCATGCATACTGCCACCACGGCCTGTCTCTAGTTACCGGCTCGGCGTCGCTGAGTGTGGAGTCGGGGAGAGACGGCAGTAGCTCACCACGCTGCAGTATTTCCACTGTGCAGATGCAGCAGGCATCGATAACCGCAAAACTAAACACAATAGTAAACTGTGGTAAAATAATTAGAAGGGATGGATTGCAGAATTTAGCTTTCATACTAATAAAAGGTATTTGATTGTAAGTTTATGTAGTTTAACCTTTAATAATAGCTATGCTTAATGACCAGCTTGTAAAACACTGAAAATTTTACACCCGGTTCTCCAGAGCCAGCTCCAGCCCATCCGGGAGTGGGGAGACCTGGGAGCAGTTTTGGAGATTAGCGTTCACTCAAAGGCTTCCGGGAGTAGTGGCCTCTGTGCTGAAAGCAAGGACTAGTGGGAGAACCGGGATTAGTAGGTTGACACGTTGATTCAGGAGCACAGGCAGCACAGGGAGGACAGAGCAGGGCACGTGCAAGAGACGGAGAAGCTGGAGGAGGGAGGAGAGGTGGGAAGAACACGAGGTTTGGTTCGGCGTAAGGTGGGGGTCAGATCACTCAGGCTGTTGTGACTCTATGCTGGGCATGCTCAAAATTAGATTTTTCTTTTATAAAGATATCTCTGGCGACAGTTCAGGGAGCGAGCATGAGGGTGTGGTAAGAGGGAGGTGAGCAGGCTATTGCCCTGATGCAGAAGAGGGCTGGTGGGGGTGTGGGCAGGGAGGGGCAAAGCAAACGGGGAAACCTGCTCTGAATCAAGACATATTCAGGAAGAAAAATACACTTGAGTCAGGGGTTGACTGAATATGGGAATGCCTCTCATAGTTCCCACATCATTTCTAATTGACAAACCCACCCACTCCTTCCAAAGCCTCCTTCCCTGCGCCGCCGGGTGGAATCTGACCGCGCACACGGGAGCCTGCCTCCTTTGGCTCTGGGGACACCACCTCGGCCCGATCCTTTGCTGACACCCTGCGTCCTCCTTTGCAGTCTCCTGGGCCTGCCTGCATCGTGGCATCCTGCCCTCAGCGCTCTCTCCTCCCTCTTCCTCTAGTCTGCCCCAACCCCAGCGCAGTTTTGTTCCTCCTCCATCTTTCCTTGAGTTTTAAAACAATTCCCAAACATTTGGCTTTAATGCTTCACTAAACAATAAGCATAAATAATTAATGCTTCATTATTTAGCCATTTTTATTGCTGAAATCCTTCCTAAGATTTGGATTAACATCTCCATCCACTACCTTCATGCTCATCCTCATGTGTAAATCTTCACATCCCCCAAACACATGCCCACACTAACACGCTTCATCCTGCCAACGCTATCTCTGTGGATATTATCAATAGCCTCCAATAACCTCAGATTTATCCGCTATTTCTACTCTTTCTCCATCAGTCTCCAACATTTAATTCCAAGAAGCATCAGATCCTCCTCCTTTCTATTACCACTGACGTTGACTGACTCCAAAAACATTTCTTGTTTCGATTATTGCAGTAGCTTTCCCCATACACTTCCTTCCCTCCTGCCAGCATGTTCTCCTCTAGCACTTTATCCTTAACTCTAGAACAATTCTTTCCAAGGTAAGTGTACTTTTACAGACTGTGCTTTTTCTTCTCTGTCCTTGTACTGGATTGTGAGCATGTGAGGAAAGGAACGTGCACTTCTCTGTAGTTTTCCAACATCCAGCGTTTTACTCGTGTACTTAAGATATTCAATATTGTTAAATGTTGAATTAAATCTTTATCATTCAGTTAAATTAAATCAATGCATCTCTACTTTCCAGAGTATATTCATCTCAGGAACTGAGATATACCCCCAAACATAGACTCAATCTTTGGGCATTTTAACATTGTACTAAGTCTTTACGTTCTGCTTGAGAGTCCCAGAAAAGATGGAACTCTTATGAGTTAATAAGACTGGAGCACTTTATCTGGAAGTCTACATTTTCTACTTACATGGATACTTGATGAATCAATTTGTAATATGTTTAGCTTAAAATAACTAAAAACTCGACTAGACATGGCTTAAATGCACAGTGTGTGTGTGTGTTAATTGTGTGTGTGTGTTAATTGTGTGTGTGTGTGTGTTAATTGTGTGTGTGTGTGTGTGTGTGTTAATTGCATGTCACAGGTGGTACAGGGTGGTCTGTGCAGAGATGCTACGTTCCCCCAGTGAGTCAATGATAGTTTTCTTTCTACGTTTCAATCACTGTCCTATAAGGCTCTTTTTCCCCCTCATAACTGTCACATCTTAGTCACAAAGTGGCTGATGTAACCCAAACTCACACCTGAAGTCCAGGTAGCAAAGAGGAAGAAAAATGAAGACTTTACTTTTTTATTCCCAGTGCCATGTGCCTACATCTCATTGGCAGAACGTGTTTTAAAAAAAAGATATTTTTAAATGAGATCATGAGAAGATTTAGCCCCTAAAATAAGGAGTAAGTATTGGGTGGCACATGGCAATGTCTGTGACACATCACAGCACCAAGGCAAGAGATTGTTTAAAAAAATTAGATATTTATTTCAAATCCACATTCCATTTATTTTATATTTAATTCTTTAAGAATGTAATATCTGTATATAATATTTTATTATTAAGGTGTCCTGAAAATGACAATAATCTTAAACCCACAATGCAGAGTAAATAAGGCTTCCCAACTGCTCCTGGCTGTGTGTTTTGTTCCCTCTCCTCTGCCAAACCTAGTTTTGTGATCCGGCCCCAGGACACGGAGGTCTGACTTGGCAGCAGCACAACCTTGGAATGTGCGGCGACAGGCCACCCCACCCCCACATTACTTGGACCAGGGGTGACGGGGAGGAGCTGCATGGGTCCAGGCACGTGGCAATTCCCAGTGGACTTTACGTCAGAAGAACATCACCCTGCAGGATCACGGGCAATTTACGTGCCAAGCCAGCAACAGCCAAGGCTCCATTCAGGCTACAGCAAACATAATTGCACAAGGTACGGGAGCAGAAAGTCATGATTGAAGTGTTCCTCTTGCCACGCTCAGAAAGTTATTTTTCAACTTTAATAATGTCACGTACGTCAGCACAGAGATATTTTTACTTGCCAATTTTTGTGACATAATAGGATTTTCAAAACTAATCTGTTGTAAGTTAAAAGTTGGATTTTTTTTTCCCATTTCAGTTTTTATCCAAAGGTCAGAATCAACCATTAGCAATAAACGAGATAAAGTCGTTAATCTGGAAGCAAACTGTCAAAGGTGTTTGTGCGTCAGAATATTTTGCAGACACAGGAAAGACGCCGCGCCAGCTGTGCAAGTGAAAAGGGTGTGCCTGCACTCAGAGTCCCTTACCACGCTGTCCACCCCACAGCGAGGACACACTGACGGCTCCAGCAGGTAACACTCGTAACACTGTCCTCAACCCAGAAAGTGACGTTCACGCGTGGGCATGCGCTGTAAAGAAGGCACGTTCCTCTGCTGCTCTTGGTTCTTAACCTGAGGCTGCCCCTTCCTTTCTGTTGTTGTTGTTGTGTGTATACACTTACCTCCTGCAGGTTAGAGTTTGGTAAACAGCAGCATAGAATAAGTGTGGTAGTGATGGCAAAAGTCCTATCTGAGACAGTTCTTCATCAACTGACAAGGGCACAGTCATTTATAGTCATCCATTTTAAGGACCTCCTGGAGTCATGAATATTTTAATTGAGCTAAGAAGTGTCATTGTTTTCAGATTTGCATAGGTTGTTATCTGCCAAACACTGGACCTTGAGAAACACAGAACAAAGACAATTTAGAAATGTGGAAGCTGCCAGTCTAGTGCAGTGCCTGAGCTGGGGTGACTTCAGTGAGTCCCGGCCGCCCCAGAGTGGTGTTGCCACACCAAGAGGCGTGGGACTTCATCCAGCCTAGGTTTCTCACATTTAGAAAATGTTTTCTGAATGGAATTGTCTAGCGTCAACTCCGTAAGTAGCAATAGGTCAATAATTTCTGATTCCTATTGACATGTCTGAGGAAAAATTTGTGTTTTCCCACACAGAATATCACAAAAACACTTTCTTGCTCTAATAAGAAGTTGTAGAAATAAAATTGTTTTCTTGAAGTCTTTGGTAACTCCTGGGGGAAATTACTTTTAAAGCACCCAGACATTCTTTTTAAACTTTCAATGTGCTAGGATTGAAAAATTCTTTCAAAGAAATGATGTTTGGGTTTTGTTTTGCTTGCATCATTTTATGTTGAATGTCTGTGTTTTTTAGAAACATAATGCCTAATCAAACACACACTTCTCAGCTTCCCATATTTCACACTGTGCTGGTCTTTTGCTTTTTTTTTTTTTTTTTTTTTGAGACAGAGTCTCGCTTTGTTGTCCAGGCTAGAGTGAGTGCCGTGGCATCAGCCTAGCTCACAGCAACCTCAAACTCCTGGGCTCAAGCAATCCTTCTGCCTCAGCCTCCCGAGTAGCTGGGACTACAGGCATGAGCCACCATGCCCGGCTAATTTTTTAATATATATATATATATCAGTTGGCCAATTAGTTTCTTTCTATTTATAGTAGAGACGGGGTCTCGCTCTTGCTCAGGCTGGTTTTGAACTCCTGACCTTGAGCAATCCGCCCGCCTCGGCCTCCCAAGAGCTAGGATTACAGGCGTGAGCCACCGCGCCCGGCCTGGTCTTTTGCTTTTTAGCATGTAGTTCCTAGTCTTCCATTTGTTCATCTGTATTACGTCAACTGACGCTTAACAAAACTCTGGTAGCATTTACCATCCTGCTCTTTTCTCATGCCACAATATGCTAACCATTTCTTTTTTCCAGCCAGTATGCACTAAAAATCGCATTGTCCTTGGTCATTTGCAACTGTGTACTTGTGTCACTTGTGGATGTGTGTTCAGATTTTTAGTTGGTCTTGAAATGATCCATTAATCATTCTATACATTTATAAAAGAGGCTTATTTTATTTGCCTAGTCATAGACTACTTTAAGATGTACCTTTTTGTGTCATTTTAACAGGTAGTCTATAAATTTTCTTTAGTTCTTTTAATGTCCATTAAAGCCAAAATAATAATTACCCACAGATAAACTTCCTTCCTTAGACTGGCTGGAACAAATGGATAAATAAAATGGTAAAAAAAAAATCTTTCATGAAAGGTATGAATCACAGCATGGGACGCTTATGTGAACTGCCTGGAATCATCAATAATGAAACTCAAATGCCTTTTATATGTGGCATTACCATCATGAGTAGCCAGAAGGGTAGACTTTAATAAACTAGCAAAACACTTCAATTTAGCACATGCTATTTTAGCATTGGAGGTGGGACTCAGACAGTCACCATTTTACATTAAAGGCCCAAAAATGTCAACCTCATCATTTCTGCCTAATGCCTCCACCTGCCTGCCTGCCTTGGTGATGTTCAAGTCTTTTTGGTTTTCTCCCCATTGGATCATAATTTCACTTATCTAGCAAGCTGCTCATTTTGGTGTTAGGAACAAATGTAAACTGACCATTTACTTAAATTTTTTCTGTTCTTTGCTAGAATGTGGAATCTTGCTTTTTATGAGACTACATGAACTAAAACAATGTTTTACACCTAGATTTGGCTAACTGTGAATTTTAATTATTATTAAAAAGTTGAAATCAAATTTCTTCACATTGGAACCCTGACTAAATTGTCTTAACTATTACCTACTTTTATTATATAGCTCTTTAACTGTGTCATGAATCCATTTTTTAATGTGGAAATATTTTTGTTCTTTTTAAGTCATCCCTAGTAATTTTAGGAGTTAGTGTAATGTTCCAGAAAGAACATCAGGCTGCAGGGGGCGAGTGACCTAGATTCTGTGCTCTCTCTTCCCTATATTAGTTCTGACTGAGAGAAATTCAGTCCAAGCTGCTCCAGTCTGACTTTTCTCCTCTGCAGTGAGCAGTCTCAGACTGCTGATCTGTGGGCTGTTTTCTAGCTTGACTTTTCTAGGACCCCATTACAAACAGCTTGCAGGCATTCCTGGGGGTTGTCATGAATTTGTGTGACTTTGTTATTTATCTTATACCATAGTTATACATGTGAATAACCATGGTATAAGCACCTTACTTAGAATTGATAAAGATACTTAAAAAATCTTTATTACCTGCACACAGCATGAAACTTACAACATATACACTTTGTCAAATATTGTTAATATTTACTTTATCATGTTTCTTGTATTTTCAGATGGCAGGTGGGAGCAAGGGGTGGTAGGAATTGTGCAAAGATCTACCAACACAGAGAAATGATTTGTCAAGTCATCTGGAAAAGGTTTTTTAATACTTAGGTATTATTTGGGATCATTATGCCCTTCTTAAATGGCCATATTGATTTATTTTTTATTTAATCAAAGAGTCATGAATAGAATTATAAATGGTATATTCAGCTAAAATCAACTCAACTATAATATGAATATCTGGAATATAATCTGAAATATCTGGAACTCCAAATGTTGACCTAAATGTGACTTTTCAAAAGTATAATTTCGTGTGTTGTAGGAATATTTATCTTAAGGAGCATATTTCTCTTTCTGAAAATAATAGAGCAACTTGCTTCAAATTTCATTTTGCATGGGAAAGTTTGGAGAAAACTATTTTGTTAATGATTCAACTATGACTTTTACTTTTAAATATGTTCACCACAACGAGTAAAATGACAACCAAGAGGATTTAATTTTACGGAACAGCTCTTGTAAAACTTAGAATTACTTTCTCCTTCATGGCTACTGCTTCTCTGCTTTCAGAGCAGATGTGCCTATTTCTGGTTTCCTTGCAAGTGGCCACAAGCATATATAAGCTCTTCATAATCCTTGGTGATAAGTAATTGGAAAAAAATTCTAATTACACGACATATTTAAACGAATTTTCTTTTTGTTTTCTCTTGGTGTTAAAACATTATAAAATAACTTTCAATTTTGATGTACTCTTCCGTTCTTTGCCGCTCCTCCGGCCCCAGTAGTTGTCTGGACAAAAGCAGGTACCAGCACCTGCAGGTAGCTGTGGGAAGAAATAAAGACCTTCCCTTGTGGACAGCAAAAAAAGAGCTGAAACTAATTTTCAAAGGTATATCATAGACGTGAAAACACCACACAGAAAGTAGTCTTTGATTTAAATAGGACACTCGTGGTTTCTGTGATGTTTTGCGTGTATCTGATCTCATCATCCCTGGGACTCATTTCCTGATTTTTAAAATGATAAATTGGAAAATTTAAAATATATTGGAAAATTTAGTGCTTTTAAACATTTTAACGTGGCAGAATACTGTGTTAATACAAAATGAGATGGAATCACAAGTGAAGATCCAACATATAAACATTAACACAAGTGAAGCTCACACAGAGAGCTGCTGTCCTTCAGGTGTGGGTGGCCGGGAGTGGGGCCTGGCAGGCAGGTCAGCTGTCCGCACCCCCAAGGCCCAGGCACTTCTAGGGACCCCCAGCACGACGTAGGACGAGATTGACAATTGGCCAGATGAGAGCTTGTCTGAGATTCCAATGGGCTTGGAAATCCTAACTTCTATATTAGTTTAAGTACTAGATTAATGAACTAAAAATACATCTAGTTTTATGAATTTCTTTGACTAAAATTTTTGCTTCATTCTTTATAAGATCAGAGAAGTGTACCATAGTTGGTAGGAAATGGACTTTGGAACCACAAAGCCAAAATTCACATCTTTGCTCCTATATTTACTAGTCCTGAGACCTTGGGCAAGTAAATTAACTGTTGTTTAGCAGAGTGTCCTCATCTCTCTGCTGGTGGTGATGAGATTTCCTGTATCACAGGGTGGTTGTGGAGACAGATCAGAGTGTGTTTATACTCTTAAACATTTAGAACAGCAGCTGGCACATGGTGTGTACCCTTGATAAGGCTTAGCTATTATTTTTCCCATCTATAACAAGATATTCGGCAAGACACATGTCTTCACTAAACTAACTGAAAATGATAATCTCCTTTAATTGTTAGTGACTAAAAGGAATAAATTGTTAAGAAGGATTCAGAGGCTCATGTAAGCTCAGAGGTAAGAATTACAGTGACGGCCTGGGCTCAGCTGTGAGGATTGTCAGCATGAGTGGCACAAAATCACCATCCTCAAAATGCTGCCCCAGCACATTAAATGTTGGATTTCAACAATGTTTTTATATTCCAAATGTTGTACACATACAATACACAAATGTATGGAGGTATTTGAAAATCACATTTAGGAATTAGATTGGTTTTGAAATTTGTGTTCTGAATATGGTGGGTAGGACTGAGGGGGCCCACATGAAGGTGGGCACTGGTTAAGAGACTGTTCTGGGGAGAGGTACTTCCGTGCAGCCCAGTGGCAGGGGTTGGTGGGCAGGCCGGGGGGGCGTGTCTCTAGGGTTGCAGTGCTGGGGAGGAGCCACCACAGTACACCCTGTCACCATGAATTCCTGGAAGACAGGCCTCAGCCTTTACCCAGAACAGTCACGCTGCTCTGGGATTCAGGGATTTGGGCCATACAAAGTTCTTTCTTTCCCTGTCTGCAGGAGGGCTTCCCTCTGGAAGGCCGGCACACAGTTCTCTCCTCTGCCACTTTGAGAATTGAACACTCAGCACAGCATGATCAAGGCCAATATGAATGTCAAGCGGTCAGTCCCCTGAGGGTGAAAAAGGTGTCTGTCCAGCTGACTGTAAAACCCAAAGGTAAAACATGTTGTGAAGTGAGTGCCTCTTTCTGTGCCTTTGACACACCCCGCAGGGACCTTATGACATATATATATATATACATATATATATATATGTATGTATGTATATATATTTTTTATAGGATCTAAGAAATTTGCAAATTTGATACCTTCTTCCAATGTTTTGCATACTTCATGTTTTTACTTCAGAATTTTATTGCTATTAATACTAATGATGTTTTCTTTCAAAAATGCTATTTCATATTTTCTTATAAATTTTACAATTAATAATTAATTAATAATTAATTAATTAGGCCTGCTGCATAGGCTGCCTTACACAAGAATGCAGTTTCCCATGCCCGATGGGCTGGATCTCTTCCATGGACCATGCTCCATGTTCCATGCTCAGGGGTATGGGAGACATAGTGCAGATACTCTCCTTCAGGCTCCTCAAGTGACAACTATAGTTAGGTTTCTCCTAAATAGTACATATCCTGGAAAGAGATTATGTTATTTATCCATAATTTATTGTCAGCAAATATAAAAGGAGGAAAATTCAAGTTCTAAATTTTTAAAGATATTCCAGTATAAAAAAAAAATTGGTTGTTAACTACTATTGAAATTTCTCCTTAGTTCTGGCTTATGCTGAGATGATGGAACTTAGTTATTATATATATAGCACCTGAATTGCATTTACAGCACTGCTTTACATTTCAATATAATTTTCTAAGTTTCTCCACAAACTTGCTATAATTTGTTTTAATGTAGTAGAGGTAACACAATATTTAGATCAGAGCATATGAGAAGTAGGAACAAAGCTTAGCCAATAGCAACACAAGCTGAGAAATTGTAATGCTGCTGTTCATGATGCCTGAACATAGAACATAGTAAGCAAGTATCTCTGTGGTGTCTGTTATCCATTTTTGTCTCCATATTTTAAACATATCAAATATCATTTTTAAAAATAGAAGTTGAAGTTCTATGAAGGGAGCAGGGTCCCTAGATAGAATGTATAAATAGCAGGTCCAATGACTGGGAAGATCTGAAAATACAATGGGGAAAGATGAGGGGCCATGACATGCCCTCGTAAATCCCTTTCCTCCTACAAGGAAATACCAAAGCTGGTATGCAGAATGTTTCAAGCTAATTTTGAATTAGTGTTTGACTAAATCTCAAAAATCAGGAAGTTTATATTTAATATCTTTAAAAATGGGAAAAATATTAATCAAATGTTAATGAAACCAAATATGGTATGAGGTGCTAAAGAGACTGATCTTAACTTCGCCCCACTGCCAAATCCGTGCTACTTGCTCTGTGATCTTTCCGATCTTGATACAGAAGCAGTTTCCACTTTCCCAGGAAGTTTCAATTCTCTAAGACACTGTAAGTTGCACCTGTTGAAATTAACATTAGAAAATACCATTTTCTAATGGTTGACAGATGTAGAGTAATTTGATAATAATCAAATATCCATTGCTGAGAAATATCACTAGAATAGCAGAAATGTAGAAACAAACAGTTTTTTAGAAACAAAGAGCCTAAGTGTGGCCCAAGGTGTGTGAATGAATGGCTTGCGGTGAGGCTGAATGGGAGGAGGTAGTTGGTGGTGGGTATGAATTTGACATAGCAGATCCAGACTTAGACTATGGAACTACTGAAGTCTTGATCAGGTCTCTGTTTAGAAATTAATCAATAAAGTGAATAGGAAGACTGGAGTAGGGAAACACTACACGAAAATACTGGAGCTATGCCTATAGTCAAGTAATATGAGAACTAAACTAGCATCACAATGATGAGAATGGAAGAGAATGAATTCAAGAAAAAATGTATCAGGTGGAACCATTTTATCTCTGAGATTATGAAAAACACTATTTTTCTTAATACCTGTTCCCAATAATACTCTTCAAAAACTTCCTATCTTTCCTGTAAAAATCAGCATCCTTGACAATATTTTGGGATATTGCATAAGTTTTCATGAATTTTATATCTATGACAGTTTCATTCTAAGGATATCTCAGTGTTGAATTCCTCATGGATTATGTGTTCTTTTACTATGGAAATTCAAATATGATTTTATTTAAGAATATTTCTATTTAATTAATTCTTTTAATTTTCCTTGTATCTCATTATTTGTTTCGGGACCCCCACATTCTGGGTATATTATAATGCTGCTCAAAGTGTGTTTTGTGGATTCCTAGTTGGAGGGATCCCCAAGCCATTCAGGGAGTTTCCTAGGTCAAATCTATCTCATAATAATATCATGGTGTTATTTGCCTTTTCACTGGGTTGCACGAACTGCTGTTCGCGTGCAAAAGTCATGGTGGTAAAGTGCTATGGCCTTAGCAGAACCAAGGTACCATTTGGACCAAATGGTACTAGTGATCATTATGTTTTTGGCTTGCAGTGGAAAAAAGAAGATATTTTACTTAAGAATGTCAATGATGAAATAGGGAAAAAATATTTATTTTATTAAATCTTGACCTTTGAGTACATATCCTTTTATAGATGTGTGATGAATAAAATTGGCAAAATAAAACTACATTGTCAAATTTTGGTATAAATCAAAGAATTTTTACACTTTTCTGAAAAATCTTTAAAATGTTCCTATACTTTTTCTTAACATATCTTTGTGAGATAGTATTTGTACTTTAAGGTAGTATTTTCAGTTTTCTGAAAAATCTAAAATGTTCCTTTACTTTTTAAACATTATTCTTTGTGAGGTATATTTGTACATATACTTCAAACAAACTACTAATTGTAAGAAATGAATTCAAAAGCAGTTACTATTATTTTTTGAGGTTTATAAACAATCTATATATTCGTTATTTTATTTTTATAAAGTAGTTAATTTTCATAAAAATACATTATATATAAAAATATGAGTTATATATTTAAAATGAACAAATAAACTTTAAATGCTCACTTTTAATTTGTAATATTATGCATCTAGCATAAACCTGCATAAATAAAAAGCTCTTTATGCTTCAATAATTTTAAAAGTAAAGGGTTCCTGAGACCAAATGTTTGAGAGCCAAATCATTTGTTGATCTTTGTCCAATTCTCTCTTCATTTTTCTCTTCAATCCCTCTTAGCTCTTTATTTCTTAGGTCATTTTTGCGTTTCTCATGTCTGTCTTCATGTCTTTTACATGGTTTTGACAGTGTCTGTTACATCCAGATATGCTTCTCCACTTAGTTATGCAATTGTTTTATTTTTCCATAGTCTTTTGCTTAACTATATGCAAATATTAATAACAATGTACAAAATTAGTATTTTATAGAAAATGTAATTAATTAAACTGATTCCAGAAGAGAGAGAAATCTAAACAGAATATACCAGAAGAACAGAAGTGCCAAAGATCAGGGCAGAATAATACTCAAATATTACTCTCTAGCATGGCCTTACAGCTTGTTAATTATCCCATGTGTTAAACCTGTGAAGTGTGACTACTAGTAAAAGCATGTGGTCTGGCACTTTCCTAGAAAAGCTATACTCCTTTAAATAACAATTCCAAATCTATTTAAATTGCTCAGGGTTAGAAAATGATGAATGCTATAAAATATTTTTAAAAACAAACAATCTTTTTCAAAATTCTAAAAATTCATTATATAAAAAGAAAACTATCTCATATATTTATGAAAAAAAATTCATGAGTGGAAATAAGTAGATATAAATCATAAAGAATCCAGTAGCACATTAAAAACATTGGTTGTGTTTATTCTAGAAATTCAGGGATTGGTGCACAAAAGGAAATTAATATATTTTACCGTATTAATGGATTTATGGAGAAAAATTATGATTCTTTCATAAATTTTAAAAAAACATTGTTAATCAACATTCATTCTCATTGAAAACTCTTAATAACATGTCTGAGTAAACTTTCTTTAACATGATAAAATAGATCTACTTGAAACTCATTAGCTAGAATCTAGCTTCATAGAGAAATGATATTTATTTTCATTAAGAAAGAAAGAGACCAAGGATTTCCACTCTCATCACTGTCATTCAGTATAGGTTTGGAGTGACAATCATTTACATGAGCTAAGAGACATAAGAAAGAGTGATTTCAGGATTTCAGAAGGAAATTCTGAAAAAGAAGCGCGAATTAAGGAGGACTATCATATTAATAGTAAAGCACATAATAACCTGCAGTAATAAACGGTACCAGATGGTTATTAAAACACAATATTATGATCTATAAATTACTCGCTCTTATCTGGGAAAAGTAATGTGTGGAAAGGTGGATCTCCTCTCAGTGGAGAAAACATGGTAATTCACACTACAAGAGTGGGGGTGACTCTCTGGCACATGAGAAGCAACCTGTGTCCGTGTCACCGGCTTGCTCCGAGGTCTCCCCCTAGCGGATGGATGGCGTGGGCGCAGGGGGGCCTGGGGCTCCTGGGGCTCCTGGGGTCCTGGGGCTCCTGGGGCTCTGGGGCTCCTGGGTGGGCTCCTGGGGCTCCTGGGGCTCCTGGGCTGCTGCCGGCCTCCCTTCCCCTGCCGCTGCGGAGGCGCGGCCAGCGCTCGCACGCGTGTCTGGGTCTGGGTCATTCAGAGGCGTGGGGTCCCACTTTTTCCTGGCGTGGAGCCGGCTCCAGCCTTCTCCCTTGGACCTTTCGCCTTGGACCTTTCGGCCAATCATATCTTCTTAAGGCACCGGTTCTCACGCACACGGGCAGTCAATAGGCAGCACCTGCAAGGGCTTAGGCCACTGCCTTCGGACGCCGCTGGGCTCGGCAGTCAGCGAGCGCCTGCGCGCGTGTCCCTGGGCCCGCGGCCTCGGTCCTCGCGCCCGGTGCGCCGTTCGTCTCGCTGCACCAGGGCCCTGACTGAGCAGGTGTCCAGACAGGGCTTAGATGCTGGTCTCCCCTTCCGGAGGACACCGTCGATTTTGTGCAGGCAGGCTCCCCTCGATATCAAGAGAAGCAGGCCTCTTCCCCACGCCTGTGCTGAGCGAGCGAGCAGGCCTCCCCACGCGGATCCGCGCCACCTGGGGCGGCCCTGCCGGCCTGGCTGCTG